TGTTTCTCATCAAAGTATTTAAAATAATAAAAAAAATATATTAAATCCTAAGTATTCAGTAAATATTCGAAAGATTAGGACATATATTTCTTTTTTTTCCATCGATTTAGGGCTGATACATATGTACCTTAAACTCAAACTTTATTATTGATTATTTGAGTACGATTTTTTGTCCCCTTTCCATTACCTTTTTTAAGACTCCAAAATTTGGACTCTTCACTGAGATACGGCTGTTTCAGTGAGCCTTTTTTTAGACTTAACGAGTTAAATTTTTTCTTCTTTTGCGGTTTCGGGAAAGTTATATATTTGGTAGCCAGTCGTAATTTTTAGAAGGTAACGATTGAGCTTCTGTACGAGGGTCAGGTATACTGTTTCAGAACATCAATGCTTATGAGAAAAATTGACACTCCATTTCAGACAAGGCTTATCAATATTGTTGAGTCTGCTTTGAAATTTATTCTCTTTAGTGAGCCATTGTTGCATGCAACAATTATTTAACTCTATATTTACACCTGCCGGTATAATGCTATTTTAGAGAACAAAACAGTTTATGCTATTTGGCATGTAATTATTTTCGTCTCACGCGCACGTCTAAATCAACGAAAATTGTGCAGCACCCCGAAAAATCGGACTATCTGAAATTTTGATCTGACTTGACGGGCTTTAGTAAATAGCCTTAATTGAAAAATAATTCACCCGTGGAATAATGCCAAGCGTATCGCAGTTTTACATAATATCAATAACCCGACTATACACCTATACATGCTCAAGTAGAAAATATACCCCGACTATAATAAAAATAATATACAATAGTAATAAATCCTTTTAATTATTTTTTTCAAGTCATATTTCCATAGAAATGAAGTACACGTATGCATCATAAAGTATATGTATAAGGGCTATATCACGACAACTGTCCCCCCTCTTGGATCATAGCTGGAATTTGATTTTTCATATTTTATTCTGCTTCCCAAGGGTGAATATGAAAAAATAATTTCAATAATTTCGATTTCGAGTTTCAATAATTTTAAATAAACTTTTCAGTTTGGTTAAAAAATAATTATTTTCCAAGAATAGTATTCACGGAAGTAAAGTGCTGCATTAGCTGGTGAGACTATTTTCAATTCGTTTTTAAGACTCTTAGGATTTAACGACGCTAATAAATAGCTAAATTCATTTTGACAAAAAACTCAATATATGTATCATATGATGTTTTAATGATATTTTTTCAATTCAAGAGGAAATTTTTTGAGAATTTACTCAAATTTCACTACTAGAATCGTCAAGTCTATTACCATTTTCGGAGGCCCAAAGTTGTCATTTTACAGAAATTCATGCTTTTTGCGAAGATTTTAAAAGTTCTTAGCTCAGCATAAAGCGACTTAAAGGAAAAAGTGTTCGAGAATTTTTTCTGTAAATTGTCCAAACTTTAAAAAAATAATACAACTAAAGAGTTTGATTTAACATTGTCACTCTTGGAATACTGATTTTTACTTCTAAATTATCATTAACATTGTATTTTTATAGTACCAATAAATTTTCCATGTATTCAACAACAAATTGATCAATAAACCTATAACACCATTAGAGTAAACAGTGGTAATGATCTTCGATATTTTTTGCAGGAGGACGTGAAAAAGTACGTAGAGGGTTGTAAATACACAGAAATAGAACCTGATAACAAAAAATCCGTTGGATCGATGAGTGTTCGGAACAAAGAAACGAGACTCGCTTAAGGTAAGCAAGATACTTCGAACGTAGACGAGCTGTTTTTATTTGCACAACTCGGTAAGTAAGCAAGTTACTCATTATTTTATTTAACATATTATAATGTGAATGCCTTTGTATACAAATAATGGATACCCGTTGCGGTAAGTAAAAAACACTAAATTACTTTTTTTACAATGTTGCGTGGCGAAAAACAAAACTGAATGTTTGTCTGAAAATCTTGATATAATTTTATTAAGAATCTACTAATGCAAGGGTATGCCCTGATTTGATATTCGAATACTGCTCCATGTATAGATATATAATTCTCTCTATCTGTCCTTCTCTTTGCTCGACTTTAAGAGTTATTATGACTGAACTGATTTACGAGCGAGCTCACTTTAGCTATGGTGTATGCGTAATCCCGCCACTCTCTCTATATATAATATATAATGCATTCGATGAATATAGAACGCACGATATGGAAAAACTTTGCATTTGTGCAGCTCTAAGCACTAGTAGTAGTACTACTACTCGTAGCAGTAATAGCAGTAGTTGATGAAAGATGGAAAACTTTATATATATCTATACCGAAGATGTAAACTAAAGATATTATTTAGAATCGACAATTTTGCTGACACCGACGATAAAGAGACTTTTTGAGTGTACTTGCTCGTGCAAAAAGATAGAAAAAAAACACATTCTCATTGGTATTTCGGGAAAGTTTTTGATGCTGCTGGCTTAAATTTTTCGTACTTGTTTTTTCTTTCAATAATCCGAATCGTAATTTTTCCAAGATTCATCACTGAATTTAATTTCTGATCTTGATTTATAGATTATAAGTTTTTATTTTGTGATTTAAAATTACTTCTAACAAATCATTTCCAGGATGGACTGTTCTTAAGAGCTTGTTATTTTTTCACGCAGAGATGGAAATATATTCATTTGAGAAATATTTCCTACAAATGCAAAAAAGGTCGAGCTGAAGTTGCGGCAGTCTTTCATTTTTATGTTTTGATTATTTTGTTGGTTTGCTGGCTGCCGCAGAGGAGCTGCGGTCGATGACTGGCATCTGTCGGTGCGTGTGCACGTGCTTTTCGCTTAAATAATTCAATCTTGCGACTCTTGGGAAAAGATTCAATATTGAAAGGGTCTGCAAAGTAATTTGGAAAGTTTTAGAAGAGAGCGAGAAAGATCTTCTGTAAAACTTTTGCTTGGATTGCGTGTAATTTTTCTTCCAAAGCAAATCTTGCCATCTCTCGTACGCTCTGCATTAAAAATTCCATTTACCATTCATTTAACTTTTGGTGCGCAGTGCTAGCATTACATTTGATGCCGATCTTAGGCTTTTTCTATCTCTTTTTTTAACTTTTGTCAAACCAATCTAATTTTACTTTGTTATTGTGTTTTTCGTCATCTGTAAAAATTATGCGTGTGCGTATCAAGAAAAATGTGTTTTCATCAATTTGACATTTCATTTCAACAAAGTATATAACGAGTAAGTATATTTTTTATTCTCATACTACCAACATTTAGAACTTAAAATGAAGAAATTGGAAAAGTTTCTTATTCTTAGTTCATTTTATAGGAATAAAGGTAGGTAGAGATTATAGAACTCAAAAGTTTATTAATCCTTAACATAATAGAATGGAATGAACAATTTTACGCTAAGATATTAATTTAATCTGCAATAGATGGCTGGAAGCTCTAAAAACTGTTCATCATTACCATTAGCTTTCAGCTTTATAGTTACTCTCAATTTTTATACAAGCTAATTATCTTGATAATAGAAACTGGAAGATCTCGACTATCTTACATGTTTTCTTTACGCAAGCACAAAAAAGGTAAAATAGTTGTTCTTTTATTTCACGCACAATAAAATTCAACGTATATACATGTATATAAGTATGTCCAAATCGTCTCTTCCAGCAAGCATGCACACAATGTACAAAAAAATAGCGGAAAATCACGCTGGAAAGATATTGCGTTTGACGAACCCTTTAAAATTCCGCAGCACTTTTTCTATATATGTATAATATGCGCGTATGTAAGACGCAGGGCAGGAAATACTCGAAAAAGCTCACAAAACTTTAAGAGCGTGAAATTCCAGAGCTGACCAGATGGCGTCACTCGTCACGCTCCGCATGCGCGCAGATAGAGAGAGAGAGCGAGAGAATAAGAAGAGCGCTCAGCTCAGCTCCCTGAGACATAAGAAAGCTCTTCTTACGCGCGTGCACGAAGCTCTGCGGACCATGAAAGCTTCTATCTATCTGCGCCCGTTGTATGTTAGAAAAGGTTAGAAAAGTCCCGGGTTTTCTGCTGCATTTGCTACTGGGTGAGTGCAGTGCCGCAGAGTACTACTGTGCAGTGCTGTTGTACACGCGTGTTTGACTTCGCAGGAAAGTGCATGAAGTCGAGACAGGTTCAAATGTAATTTTATTTTCTGCGGAATTCGTACTCGAGATGTTTTTTTTGTTCATTCAGAAAATTAAATGATATAATCCAGCGATAACTTACTGATTTCATGAAGTTTCTGATATTATAATGACGATAATTTTTCTGGAGAAAAGGAATTCGTGTCAAAAAATAATCAATGAAGATCGGCGATAATTAATCGAATAAAACAATTAAATTACGTTTTATCAAAAATCACCGATACTTGATCAAATGAGAAAAAACCATCGATGATATCTATCATTTACCTACTAAGATAACTTTGGCGCCTAATAACTATGCTAGGCATAAGTTTGAAAACGAACAGCTGACTAAGATCCGAAGGGCTCCCGAAGCTCGCTCGTCCGTTCCTGGCGTTTCTGCCTTACCCACCAGATACAAAAGCATGCAGCATCAGCCGAAGCTTGCAGCTGCGCATTTACGTTCGAGTTAAACACACTCGCAAGCACATCGGACATCCCATACTAGCACAGCGCAAAAGACTCGAAGCTATAATTTCAAAGCAAATATAAATATCCGTGTTTGCATACTCGGACGAGACGCTCTGTGCGACGTGTTCTCTCGTCAGCCTATACTACACAATACACAGACTGCGAAAGAGAAAGAGAGAGAGAGAGAGAGAGAGAGAGAGAGAGAGAGAGAGAGAGAGAGCGAAAAGAGCAGAAGACAAGCCGCCATTTCGTATTGGCACTGTACAGTAGTCGTCCGTCTCTTTCTCGCGCATCGCATTGTATTGCGCGCACACAGACTCACACAAGCACATCAGACACACGACTATACTCGCAAAGGCCGTGTCGGTGTTGTGCTGCGCGATTCAAGCTCAAGCCCATGCGATTGTGTGAGTGACTGAGCTGCTACTGCTTCTGCTGCTGTGTGTGGAGTTGTGTATCGCGAGCAAGACTGCGCGTACAGAAAGAGACAGAGATAGAGCAAGAAAATCGACGAACTGGTCTCGTCGTTTTATTAACTTCTTTATCTCGACTTTAACAAAATCGTCGTCGTCGACGTCGTTTTGAAGCGTCGCTGTGCTGTGCGCGTAAGTGTGGGTGCGTCTTCGCTTGATGGTGCCACTCAGTGCTCGAAATCATTATCGACTAATAAGCGAGAGTGCAGCATCGACAGAGACCGTATAGGCAGATAAGACGACGCCACATCGTGTATTAGACAGCAGCAGGCGCGCGTGACAAATTTTACATATACCAAGTCACACACACACACACACACACACACACACTTGTGTATATAAATATCATTCGCGCGAACGCACACACGCACGCGACTGACTCTGTCGGAGCAGTCTAAGAAGTTTTCTGCTGCTGCTACGGCTACTGCTGACGCTGCCTATATACTGCCTGATCGAAATACTACTACCGCGGGAGAAATATATTCATCTCGGCAGTTTTAGCTTATATATTCCACTGCTCGAAATATAGAAGCTAGTAGGTAACGCACATCGATCGAGCTCGCGCGACTCATCTGCGTGTGAGTGTGTAACGTGCCTCTGTGCAGTCTCTCTGTGTGCGTGTGTGTTGCTAAACTCGCTCGTCCGTGTGTGTATACACACACATGCACGACACTCGCAAAGCAAAGTGAGGAATACAGAAATTAGCCACCGTGTGTAAGTGCTAAAGTTGAGAGCTGTATAGATGAAAATCGCGACTGTGCGGGCGGACTTTTGAGGTTAGAAAGGGGCAGGTCCAACGCTTTTATACCGAGACTGGTGAATAATTCGCGCGACAGCCAGTTCGGACTATACGACAAAAACACAATCGATTCAACAATTGATTTACAAACTACTTGTGTGTACCGTATAAATAGCTGAGAAACGGAGAAGTAAATATGGAACGCTCGAGTCGATTCGCAATCCTCGGTCTGCTATTTATAGCATGTACCATTGGTGAGGTGCTATCAGGTAAGTGTCTTTTTATGTGAACACGTCCTATTCTCATCGTTTTATATAGTCGTAGTTTTTAATCTAAAATTGATCATCCGGACATCATAACAAGACCCCCCATTCTCCCCTCACATTAATGCCAAGTTTTTTTTTCGTACGATTTGATCGCGTAGATCAAGAGAGCAGGTCGACCAAGCGATACTACATCTCTCCTTGTCTCTCTCTGTTGCATTTAGTCACTGGTCAACGTGTTATATCTATTGATTTTTTGCCATTACAGGCATGTTATCGAGACTTGGTGTAAACCCACGTAAAATCGATCGATTTTTTAAATCTCTTAATCGGTCTGTGACGTCATTCAAGTGTAAATAGGTAATATATAGGCATTTCTATAGTTAAACTTCTCCGTTCTTCGAAGGTTTTACGACACAGCAGACCATAAAATTATGTAAATTTCTCCACACTAAAAATTGCTTCTCACTGGCAAATATTGAATTCAAGTGGCTTCGACGAATCATGGAATTCCTTATCGTTTTCATTCTTATCTATGATAAACTCGAATAATAATGGCAACTTTATCTACTTGTACATTCGCGCGTGCAAGTACGCACGACATTGCGTGGAAGCAACCCGAGTATCTTTTCGATTATCATCATCGGCCAAGCTCAATTAAAGTTAATCAAAATCTAACTAATAGGCTGGCCGCATTGTTATTGCTATTCCCCAATTGGAGCCGATTGGATCAACGATCTCTCTCAAGCTCAAATTCGGAGAGGAAAAAAAGCATCACCTAAGCCTTCAATCATTCGACGAGTAGTTTGACATCTCCGAGCTGTCTCTTTTTTCTCTCTTCTCGCGTATACACGCTTATATACATACTGTAATGCGTATACATGCGGCCTTGACAGAGAGAAAGAGAGCAAGTTTGTGTGTGTGTGTGTTTGCAAAGCAGGCAGTCTCGAGACGCACGTTGAGATATATTTAGGGTCTGCGTGTAAAAGCAGGCAGGGCCGTGCCCGCCGTCGTCCGTGTGTACGGGTGTGCGTGTCGCTCTCGGCTCCGCGGTTAATTTTCTATGTATCTCGAGCGACGAATCTCTTGCGTGCGAGAGCTTTATAGAATTCGAGCGTTTTTTCTCATCTAAATGCACAGTGACGTGCGTGTTGACCGAGAGCGTCGTGAGCCACTCGCAAATATCGCCACGACGTTTTCTGCGCGGTGGCGCATGCGCGCGACGCGCCTCACCAACTGCGGTCACATGAGCGAACGGCGCGCGTTCGCAGAAAAATTCATCGAGTAATTACTGTCCGAGGCTTTTTTTCCTCACTCGATAGCCGTGCCTCGAGATTGTATGCAGCTATGTACACATCTATTTACGAAGTATACTTGTTTATAGATCAAAAGGTATGCGCGATGCTCGTCAAGTAATGCAAAACGACGCTCGGTCGACTGGAAACAGAAAAACTTGTCGTAAACTCGGGCTCCTTTCTGGCTCGTGTATGATTCAGCAATGATGTTACACTAATGAATTATATCGAAGAAGTTTTTTCGAGATATTTTGTTTATTGTTGTCCACCGGAGCGATATTGAGGTCAATTCTCCGCGGGAAATATCATCATCATCAGCTGAAAGCAAAGAGCAACATCAACAACGTCTTCCTCTTCACAAGTGGTGCAAAAGAAAGAGAGAATATTGTTTCTCGTAAAGTCTCGTTATATGCGCTTTCCGAGCGTTGATGATTTTCACCTAGCCTTGAGATATATTATTAGAATTAAAGTGTCTCTCTCTCTCTCTCTCGGCTGGCGCAGCAGCAGCAGCCGCCGTTGCCGCGTTTATTCACTTTGTTGACTCAGACGTTTACTTTTTAATTAAAATCTTGACTTTATCGTTGAGCAGCTCGTTACGAGCTGCGCTCTTCGAGAGCTTGCGTCGTCGCGTGGGGCCCGCGCTCGCGACTCTGTCTCGGGCTTGCTCTCTTTGTCATAGATCTATCAACGTCCCATTAGTGTACTCGCGCGACGTATCTCTCTGCGCATATAATAGCACCGAGACGCGCCATGCATTATGTACGCTAGACAAAAATCTCGGCGAATCTCGTGTCTTTTTCGATCCTGTCGCACGAAATTGATCCTAACGCCAGGGTATAGGCCAACGCCTTGCTCGCACACGTACGCATATAATATGTATACGTGAATGCAGCATGTACCTCTGCACGCATGTACAGAGAAATTGGAATTACACGAGTGTACGTGTACCATGTATACACCGTGCAACGTCCCGTAGGCAAGCTATTTCCTCGTCACGGACAATCGATTTGGGCAGACAAGTGATTGTTCCAATTTCTTCTTTCTCTCTTTCTCTCTTTCACTCTCCGTCTCTCTTTCTCTCTTCTCGTTTCCTTTCACGTAAACGTTGTAAAAATACCTTGTCAGTCTATTTGAACGAAAAGCTACTCAGACTGCTTTTGGATTATTTTGGATAGTAGCAAAAAAAATCGAGCCGCCTACGTAGAAAGATAAAAAACAAATTCACTTTTTTTTTATCGGCGAAGAGCTATCACGGTTTCGAAGGTATTATCATTCGCATTTATCAAAGTTTCACGCTCACAAGCGAGTACGTATGTGCGACGCGCGTCGTTCTAACTATATACACACTGCCAGAGATGCGCGCGGACTGCGAGAGTGCATTTTACAGATAGCGATGCAGAATACAGAAGACACAATAGATTTTGTAATTTTCCAACAACGTCGGTAGAGGATTGCGTCTCTCTGTACGTGTGTGTCTGTATGCATATTCTCTGTGTATGCGTGCACGCTGTACATGTATACATACGAGTATATAAGCTCGTGCGGTAACTCTTTCCCTGGCTGTTTCACTCGTTTAATTAAGCTGGCCTACTCAGCAGAAGCGCGCGCGCTAACAACAGCGAGTTTTGAAATAATAACCTGCATGTTCGTTTATACAAATGCAAGCTCGCAGCAATGTTAACGATTATATTCTCTCTCTTTCTCTCCATTTCTGCCTTTGCCTCTTCTACATTCACGTGTATAGGTATGCACGTGTATCTATAGAGTTTAAGTTTCGCCAGTCTAATAACTCGGCGTTATTATCGTTGTGCCGGCCGCGTATTCTAATTGCGTGTATCTACTTTCAAGATCGGATCGTTTATTCGACACATTCCATTGCCAGACATCAATTAAGGCCCTTATCTGCTGTTTAATTGTTCAAAGCGATAATTCCCAATGTGGTTTTTATCCTCTTTGCTCTTCTATCTTTCCGTACTTTGTTCTTTCTACATCGTGCAAGCTCTCCTATACTCTCGTTTGATATGAAACTCAAATTGACGTGCTCTAATTGACAAATGTATACGCAATCGCGCATACACAGTGCAGCGCACAAAATGGCATATGGTTGCACGCGGCTTGCGATGCAAATCGTTACATCGCGACGTCAGTTGTGTGTCATCGGCCGGAGTTTTATTTTGACATCGATGTCGTACGCAGTGGGGAGGAATGTACATCACCTACGTCCATGGCCATGAAGAATTTCCAATTCGATATTTTATTTTTTTGCAAGGATCAAGCGCCAGGACATGTCAGCGCAATAAACAATATTGTACAAATAAAAAACGTTTCTTGTATTCGTTTTGAATGAGTCAATTTAAATATCGTTTTCTCGCAAATTACCACTGATACTCGAATACTATTGGAAGAAATTAAGATTAAATCGACACTTGACACTGCGATATGAGAATTTTCCATCAACTATTGGTTGCATTTTTCTTCATTTAACTCGACATTCGAGTGGATTTATTCGAAAATATTACTTTTTCGATTTTCGTATGTATACCACCAGTGCGCCGTATATAGTTAAAAGTAACGTTCAAATGGTCTAGTCGAAGAAAAATGTCGATTCAATGGTTGGCTACAGACTGTGACGAACATTATTGGATTTTCTATTTCTCTTTCTCTTATTTTTCACCGGCTTATAACACACATTCACACATCCACGTATACTTTTTCATACATAATAGTGTATATCTATATCTCTCCAAAGATGTTTTTCGCACGAGTTCATTCACAAGTGCGTGTGCGAGGGAATAGGTGTGCAAAAAGTGTGTGTGTGTGTGTGTGTGTGTGTGTGTGTATACGTGTCACGAGCAGACATCGTGACAATATTTGGTTGTTTTCTCCAAATTTCCTCGCTCTGTAACTCATTCTTACATTTAATGTTCCTTATAGATGTACTTGGTCGCCTGCGTTATCCATCGATTGCTACGTATATACGTTTTTTTATGTCATCAAAGCATAATAACACTAGCTAAATCTATTAGTTTTCAACCGTTTTATTGACTATTCGAATACTCCACGCGTTGATATATGTAAAATTTTTCACAATGATGCATAAACTTGAGATTCTGCTATTTTTTGTAATGTGGAGAATGAAAGTGAAGTGAAACTTTATTGTTTTAATTTCTTGAGTATATTAATTTGTTAGTCTACTGTAAATTTACTTCACTTGTGTTGTAATAAACAAACTTGAATGTGCAAGTACACCAAGTGAAAATGTTCTCGTAAAGCTTTGTTTTATATACTGAATTATTTTTGTTGTTGAGAAAGCAAGAGATTGAAAAACATCAAGCTTCTTTATATGTCTGCGCACATTGTGTATACTTCTCTACTCAATGTTTTTCCGTGCATGAAATAGTAAAATTTTTGCTCGTTCCACGCAACATGTAATTCTTGGAAGGTTTTCAAAGTAATTTTGTATTTGGTGTTACTGAAAAATAGATATTCTCTTAAAAAAATGATTTTATTATTTTGCATTTCCTCGAAGGAAATAAAGTGTGTACTGTTTTTCTCCGGGTAAATCTTATACTTTCGATATAAGTTTTGATGTCAAATGCAGCGTGTCCTGAATAACTACCGGTTATGAATAGAAATTATATATCTGTAGGATAAATTTTCCATTCAAACTCCTGATATTTTAATTTACATTTATTTTCATGTTTCTTATCATTCAATTGTTATTATTTATTATGCAGAAAACACACACTTGATCAGTTACACATTAAAAAAAGTTTTACAATATTTTTTTGCACCTGGCTCACTTCAAATCAATTTCATCTGTAATAAAAATAAATGATTCGTTGAAAAATTGCGGCAAGTTCGAGTAAAAGTTTGAACAACGAAGCTCCAAATATCTAATAAAAAATTTGAATCAAAATTCTCATGAAATATTGATCTAGGTCACAATTCGAATAATATAAAAAGATGAATCCCTTCGAAACAATATTTTACGATCACTGCAAATACAATTAATTCACTTATCCTTCATAATAATCACCACTTGAAATCACCAATCCCTCCCTCATCGAAACAACCAATCAAGAAGCTTATCTAATATGACTCTGTCTTCTACGGCGGACCAACAACACCATCAGTGGATTACACAGGTGAAACTCACGTTCGCGTTAAGCAGCATTGGGAGATAACCTGCAGCAAAGTTAAGGATCCGAGCAGCATCTGGTGGAAGCGCAATGGCATGACATTGGGACAAGAAGAATATTCCACAGGGAAGATCAATGTGAAACCGCCAGTCGAGAATGTCGCCGACAAAACGTGGTCCAGTACACTGATTGCACAGGAAGCAACGGAGGGTCACGAGGGAGCTTACACGTGCAGCGACGAAGGCAACGAAACTCACCATCTCACACTTATCAATGGTTCGTAGAATGGATAAAAAAATTTGACGCCTTGGGCACTTAGATCATTACTTCATAATGTATAACTTTGCCATTTAATTGCATATGTATATAGAAAATCATCATCATCGCACTAGATATATCCATTTTTAACATTGACATTTGTTTGAATTTTACTCAGCCGCTAAGAAACGTGTAATAACAAGATTGGCGTGGATTTCATTAAGAATGAAATGAATCTAGCTGTAAAAGAAGCTTACATTATAATATTTGGTAAAAGCTCAAATTTTTAAATGGACAAAATTGAATATTATATGAAAGATTTCAATCTATTTTTGGTGGCTTCACTCAACTCACATTAATACTCATTGTAAATACTTACTCATTTTTATTTTTGTAATTCCCATACATTTCAGATTTAACTTTAATTTTTTTTTAATTTTCCACGGCATTCCATAGTATTCAATGAGAAAATATCAAATTTAGACAAGTTGCATTTGTACATAAATCATAGTTGCTTTTTCATGTAATAGTATAATAAAAATATTCATAATCATGATCATTTTCTCGTTAGTTTAAATGAATAATAATTTAATCAAAAATAAAAATACTAGCTGATGCTCTTAGCATAAATTAAAGTAGTTTTTTAGTTCGTTAAAACACTTATTCTACTTTTCTTTTGTCTCGAAAGGCGAACCAAATGAATGTACGTCTGAACGGTGTGTATTCATACACATACAAGAATATATACATAGAATTTTTTATAGTTTTCATTTTCATTCAACGTAAAGTGCAGTGACCTTTTGGGTGTGTAGCTGCATTCCCTTAGCAGCTAGAAGGTGACTTTTTTTGTCTAGCTCTTGTCGCGTTGTCAAGGTGTCGCGAGCGCAAAACTATACATATACCTTAGCAAAAAAAAAGAGAGATTTCGCATAATGAGTGGGAATACGTGTGTGTGTGTGTATATATGTGTGGACTCGTTTTTCTATTTCTCTGCTTTACAGTAACGTTACGCGCACGCGACGCGCTTTTTAAAAGCTTTTGCTTTTTGCATTTGCTTAAAATCACTATAATTCACTTTTTTATCGCTGTTTGGTAAGGGTATCAAAACTTTTTTTAAATTGTTAATCGTGTGTAAGTACATGATGAAACCGAGTATCTTTTACTGCATTTTATTTGTATTGTTTGAAATTTATCACTGACTATTGATAAACAAAATTTAGACTTAACAATTTAATCAATTTATTAATATTAACCGTACATATTATTATATTTCTAAACAGGGGTGAGTATAAATTTTATCCTACTATGTTTTTTCTCTAGAGTCAGTCTTTTAATCATAAGAAGCGTTTCTCGAAGGAAAACATTTTCTGTAGCAAAACTATAATTCAGAAATATTTGATATACGCATTTCCAATTTTCTCCGATACCGTCGAGCTTTGGCGCGCTTTCGTTTCTTTAGCTTGCAAAAACATCGGTACAATATTTATCAGGGCCGGGCTCTACTCGCCTTGCCTTGGAGTGAAGGGGGTGTATTTTTACACCTGGGCCATAACGTTTGGATGCTCGAAGCTATCCATAAACTCTTGAGACCCCTTCCCCTGCAAGCCCGCGCGAAGGTAAAAAGAGTCAAGAATCGCTTTTCGACTATAACTTTCCTTTCTCTGTCTTTTTCTGCCTCTCGCTGCAACCTGCAACAGCAGCAGCGGCAGCAACGCGCGCGATTACACAAAAATACCTCCCACCTCATTGCCTAGGCGCGCACCAGAAGAAAAGAAGGAGCAAAGATGTAAAAGAAAGAGCAGTATCCTCCTCCCTTTACGCCCGTTATCCTTTGGCCTCTCATATTTCTTAGCTGCGCGCGGATTAGCGAGATTTATGGGCCAAATTCGAACTAGCCCTTTCTCTCTCTCTCTTTCTCTCTCTTTCTGTCTCTCTTTAGACGTTTATATCTGCGTGAGCGCGTGGTTGAACATTTGTTCGAGAAAAGAAGAAAAGTTTCTCATCGCTTTGCGAGTCAAATATATACCAGAAACACGTTTTTTCGCTTTTGCCTCGCGCATGTTCCGAATTTTACTTCAATTCTTATGCGACCCTGGTAAAACGACTAAATTTCGAGTACAGAGTCAGGGCTTTCGTGCCTTTCTCAGCATTTTCTTCCATTCTCTCTGATGACGTATTATGTACGAAACGCAAATATTTTTGAAACTACTCCTCCGCTTCTTCTTCGTCTCAGTCGTGTACTTTGCTACTGGCATCATCATCGTTGCGGGCGACGATAAGGCTCCGAACGAGCGCATATTTATATACATAAAGCGTAAAATAAGGAAACTCCACTTCCGCTGTAATACGATTTTTTTCTTTGAAAAAAAAAAGAGCGAAAAACTTCAAAGGCGTTAAATCGCATTTCTTTTCATCCTCGTTATTTTTGCATTTTTATAAATAAAGCGTTTCACGCAGTGCTTTCATTAAGCAACTCGCGTGCACGGAATTTTTTCGCCGCCAGCGCCAAGTAATTATACACTGATTTACACGCGCGCGCGGTGCGAAAGAAGTAACTACGAGGCAGAAATTGACCGGAGCTCGTTTCGACAAAATCGTTCTAAACATTAATAAAGTGCATTGCACCGCCCATACGGCAAAAGTCGCAATGAAAATGGGATTTGTCTCATATTGCGCTTTCGCGCGCTCGCGTTCGCGTGCGTAAGGGAGCTGCATGGCTAGAAATGAAAAAGGAATTGAAAATTTATACCCTCGTATACTGGCGCGCAGTGTAACGAGATAGGAAAAAAATCAACGAGAAAAGTCCGAAAGCCGACTACTACTGGTACATGGCTCCGCGTTTGCAGCTGCAGAAAAAAAAGTAAGGCGAGAAGGTGGAGAAGAGGTTGTATCTCTCTCCCTCATTCTCTTCTCTCTCTCTCTCTCTCTCTCTCTCTCTCTCTCTCTCTCTCTCTCTCTTTCAGTGTAGTGATAACGTTTTGGCAGGCTGCCGTTCAGTGCAGGGTAAAAGTAAAAAAGTTTACGAGAAAAAGAGAGAAAGCAATCGGGGGGGCTGGTTATATATACATGTATAAGCAATAGCAGCAGCAGCAAAGTATTAGTAAAATGTACATAAGAAGTAGCTTGAAAGTAGAACTCGAAGCAGCAGTAGTAGCAGCGGCAAGCGGCGCGGGTTGTTGATTGTACGTGTATACGTAAGCGGCGCGCGCGGGAATACATTAAAATCACTCTTTTACCCCCTCGCGATGTTTTCTCGCTCAAAAGATTTAGTATGTGGTTTACGCTTATACTGCAGCAGTGCATACATCTATACGTGTGTATGTATTTCGTGCCTGCTGCTGCCGCTCCGCTCTAAAGCTTCGTCGTCGTCGTCGTCGTCGTCGTTGTCGACGTCGCCAATCAAGTATTAATGAAATTCACCAGCAGTAGCAGTAGCAGCGACGGCGAGGATCGTTGAGATCGCTGCTGTAGATGTGTCAGTCTGTGTGTATGAGATACATTCAACTCTGGCGAGCAGCAGCAGCCGAAATTTCAGTAAATACATTATACTTTGTTGAAGGAGAAAAGGGAGAGAGCTTGCAAGTAGTGCGCGCGTTTGCCATTACAGCCAAGAGAAAGTCGTTTCAGCCAAAAAAGTCTTGAGAGAGGGAAGTCGTAGCTTCCACGGAAGTATATGTATACGTGTGTTTATTGCATCAGAGAGCGCCGTAAAGAAATTTCATTAACCAAACCGCGCGTGCACTTTTCTCTTCTTCGTGCCCTGTTGTGTACATCGATCTGCTGCCCCCGTGCTACGCCGTGGCATGTACAGCTACGATCGCGCGTGTACTACGACAAACAAGGTTATTGTTTTACGACTTGCTAACAGTTTCCGATCTTGTGTGTAGTAGATATATATAAAAGAAAAGACATGAAAACTCATGAACGCACACGCTCCCCCCGTCTCTCTCTCTCTCCCTCTTTCTATATATAATGTATACGTGTACCAAGATCTGTATTACACGACTGTATATATATATGAAATACCATCCATAAAACTCGAGCGAGCGAAAACCCACAGTCGTTCTTCTATTTTCGTAGCTGAGCTGTCAGTCTGTGTGTCGCGCGCACTACACCAGATGCCATTTTTCCGCTCTTATTTCCTTGATAACTCCAATATTGATATCTTCACAATCCAATAGAGCCAACGATCGTATTATGTAATTATTCAATGGATCTTCGGAATTTTCGATTCTACCCAAAGAAATATCAAAATATCCTTGCGAGAAGAGACTTTTTATTTGAATGAGGAGTCTCGATAAAAAATTCAGTACAAAGTTAACAATGAAATAGAATTCACAAGCTTTCAAAAAATTAACTCCGTTCTAATTCAATTGCGAATACATTCGTGTCGCGAACAAAATTACATTACTCGAGAAACCATTGATGAAAATCGATTACTTGTTGAAACCAATGAATTTTCGGCTATTGTAACAGTTGCCGCGTTCGGTACGCGCGGTAGCCTCGCACGGTACTCAAGGTTAATTAAATCTGCCTAAGATGGAGTTACTAATAACATGGATTGCGATTTGGCTCAAAATTTCGGATTAAGCTGGCAGTTAATTAAACACCAGCAGTTGCTGGCAACTATTGCCATCGTAGGAAACTGTACCTCTACGCACGAGCGAACGCCTCTGAAACACCTCAGTATCTATTATGTACTCCATGTACTCGCATGCGAATCTTAACCGGATATTCACCGGATCCTTTCATTGATTACTCGACATTGCCGAGAATCTCGTTAAATTTCGTACTTTTAGGAGCCTCGCTCCTCCTCGCGGTATTCATGACTCGTTGTTGCTCGCTTGTTTTTGATGCTTTTCACGTCAGCCTCGTAAACAATAGTCAAGCACTGCTCTGTGCTTGTAATACATACGAACGTGAAATATCATACTGCAAAAGCTCAACTTTGAAGTAGCTACATTGTATTTTCTAAATCATGAATTGTGCGAGAGCTTGTTAATTCTAGGAGAAAAAAA